CCATTTCCTATGGGATAAAACTTAAGTTTTTTAACATGAAAAGTAGGTGGACAAATTGGCTTCATCACCATCCTCATAATTTCCACCATTAACCCTAAGAAAACAAAATAGTGTGGGGCTCCTGGGTGGCCCAGCTGGTTGAGTGTCTGACTCTAGGTTTTGGCTCAGGTCATGTTCTCAGGGTTGTGAGATGGAGCCAGGGCTCTGGGCTCAGCAGGAGTCTGCTTGAGATTCTCTTCCTCTCCTTCTGACTCTCCCCAGGCTCCCTCACTCTCTCTCTCAAATACATGAAAAAACCCCCACAAAATAGTGTTTGCCATACTGATGCAGCTTTAAGACAAGTCTTGCAGCTGCCTCTGGGTAAATTCCTACTCATTCTATAAGACACCACTCAAAAATCACGTCCTCTTTGGAGACATGTCTGATTCTTTTCCACACGCCTAAATTGATTCTATCTTTAATGCTTCTACAACACTTCTCCTTTAATATTTAATTTTTCTCCTTTAATATCTCCTTTAATATTTATCTCCTTTAATATTTAATTTTATCTCCTTTAATATTTAATTTTATTGTACACATTTGATTTTTATATCCTATTCTCTGAGAGCACAATAGGGTTCTAGTCATCTTTGTTTATTGTAGTACCTACCACAATGAATTATGGCTTTTTGTTTTGCTTTAGTTGTTTGTGCCACATATTCTAAGACAGCTGAGATAAAAAGCAAATTTAATGTAACTCAAACTTGAAGGAAGAAATTTTACTGAGGTTTATTTTATTATTCTTTTATTTTTATTTTTTTTAAAGATTTTATTTATTTATGAGACACACACACACACACACACACACACACACACACAGAGGCAGAGACACAGGCAGAGGAAGAAGCAGGCCCCAATGCAGGAAGCCCAATGTGAGACTTGATCCTGGGACTCTGGGATCACGCCCCAAGCCAAAGGGAGATGCTCAACCACTGAGCCACCCAGGCATCCCTGAGGTTTATTTTAAATCAATGGTTGTTAATCTTTTGGATTATAGACCCCTATAAAAATATGCTTAAAGTTATGACTTTCTTCTCAGAAAAATATACATACATACATACAAAATTCTACAAAGTTTTGTGGGATTCATAAATGCCCCGAGCCCACCGATGGCTGACAAGTTGAATTCTTGTAGTTTTTATTAATTTATTTCAGTAAGAAGTATACTCCCATGGAACATTTTGTAAGTATGAAAGTTTACAATGAATAGTCTCTCTCCTAGCTTTGTTCCCGCACTCCTCAAGTCCTCTTCTACCGAAGTGACCAGCTTTTGTGTAACCTTCTGGAAACTGTGCATATCCATGCATGAGCATTAAAAATTCTTTTCTTCTGACACCTTTTTTTTTCATTTATTTTGGCAATTGTTTCACATCAGTACATAAGATTTCAAGTGCATAGAATTCTACTGTATTGCTGTACCCTAATTGCCTTTACAATATACTTTTTAGAGTTTGAAATGATTTAAAGCTTATGAAAAAGTTGTAAGCAAAAAAAAAAAAGTTGTAAGCATAGTACAAATCATTTTTTCGAGAACCATGTGAAAGTAAGTTGCTGACTTGATATGCTATCACCCTTGAGTGCTTTTCTATATATTTCCTACAAATAAAAGTATTCACTTACATGACCATAATATAATTATAAAAATCAGGAAATTAACCTTATATATTACTACCATCTAATTCTCAGACCCTATTCAAATTTCAGTAGTCATCCCCATAATGTCCTTTCTGTCAGGTTCAGTTCCTCAGTTTTTCCCTGACTCTTATAGCCATACATTTTTGAAGATTACAGGCTAGCTATTTTTTTAGAATGAATTTAATTTGACTTGTCTGATGCTTTCTCATATTAGCATATTATACGCCTTTGGCAGGAATATAACAGAAGTGATGCTGTGATCTTCTAACTGCATTCTATCGGGTGGCATACAATTTCTCTTTATCTTATTGTGATGATACTCATGTGGACCATTTGATTAATGTGGAGCCTGACAGATTTCTCCACTGTAAATTTGCTCATTTTTTCCATTTGTAATTAATAAGTATTTGGGGAGGGTGACTTTGAAAATGTGTCAATAGCTTATGTCTCATGAAACATATCAACATAGGCTCATGGTTTCCTGTTTTATTCAGTGGATTATGACATGTTAACCGTCATTATTTTGATGCTCAAATTGTCCCAGATTTGGCCATTGGGAGCCTATTCAAACTGGCTTCTGTATGTTGACCATTAATTCTTTGAGCATTTTCTTGCTTTCTGGCACAAGATGAGCCAAGCTAAACTTGTGCTTTTTCTCCCCTAGTGGTAGAATCAGCTATTTCTTCAAAGATTCTTGGTCCCTTTAGTGGATAATAATATTTAGAAGCCACCATTTGGGTCTTATATGTACTCATTATTATTAGTGGGGTGCCTCTGCTCCCAGGCCTTCTTAGTGGACAAAGCTAGGGAAAAACACCCACACGTACACACACACACACACACACACACAGAGTGCATGTGTGCACATATATATGTATATATATATATATAAAACATACACACATATACCTTTATATCTATATTTATTTCTATATCTATACATATTTCTAGTCACTGATATTGCTAATTCTAATCCAATACTACAGAGTTCATTCTACTTTTCTCCATTTTCTTTTTCTTTTTTTTAGGGGGAGAGGGGCAAAAGGAGAGGGAGGGAGGGAGAATCAAACAGGCTCCACAGCCAGCACAGAGCCCAAAATGGGGTTCAGTTTCATAACCCTGAGATCATGACCTGAGCCAAAATGAAGAGTCAGATGCTTAACCAACTGAGCCACCCAGGCATCCCGACTTTTCCGTTTTCATATTTGTAACTCCCTCCTCTTGAGAGTGAGAAACTGGATCCCCATTATCCTTAATTTATTTTCTTATTTGATCAATCCTTCTGAATGTAAGCAAACTCCCACTGGGTGCTGTCCCCTGCCCTGAATGGAAAGTCTTCTTACCCTACTCACAATCCAGCCCTGCATCAGGCTGATGCTTTCCCTCTACCCTCCAGGGTTCTCCTTTTCTCACCTGTGCTTTGACACTCTTTGTTCCAGGAAGGGAAGGGGGAAAGGGCCATGATTTCGCTATTACTCTTACAAACAACAATGCAATTAATAATCATGTCTAGGGCAGCCTGGGTGGCTGTGGCTCAGTGGTTTTTTTCTATCTATCTATCTATCTATCTATCTATCTATCTATCTATCTATTTATGATAGTCATACAAAGAGAGAGAGAGAGAGAGAGAGAGAGAGAGGCAGAGACACAGGCAGAGGGAGAAGCAGGCTCCATGCACCGGGAGCCCGCTGTGGGATTCGATCCCGGGTCTCCAGGATCACGCCCTGGGCCAAAGGCAGGTGCCAAACCACTGAGCCACCCAGAGATCCCGGCTCAGTGGTTTAGTGCCTGTCTTCAGCCCGGGGCATGATCCGGGTCCTGGGATCAAGTCCCACCTTGGGCTCCCTGCATGGAGCCTGCTTCTCCCTCTGCCTGTGTCTCTGCCTCTCTCTCTCTCACTGTGTGCCTATCATAAATAAATAAAAATTAAAAAAAAATAATGATCATGTCTATACAAGGTTAGTATATGTTTAAAATAAATTCCTAGAAGTGGACTTATTAGGTCAGAATATGTGCATTTGTTACGTTGCCAGTTGCCGACTGTGCTACTTCTCACGGAGTTTAAGCAATGTACCCATTATGATGCCTAAAAGAACTTCTAAGAAGGATAATTCTAATACATAGGAAGACCTAAAAGTTACAGGGTAACATTGGAGAAAATTAAGACAACTTGTTTCCTCTTCCCTGGAAATACATTTACTGCTGTAGAAGCCAGGTTTCCTACTAAGTTAGACTCTCGGTAAGGAAAATGAAACAAAATGTAGCCATCCCAAGCAAATTTAGGAATTGCAAAACCAATAACCAAACACAGGGTAGAAAGTAACTTTAAGGGCCCTCGGAAACCTAAATTAGCACGGTGAACTGCATGGGAGTTGGTACAGCAGCTCTGCAGTTTAGAAGGCAAAAATAAAAAGCAGCACGACACAAAACAGCCAGGAATCCACCCCCCCCCCCCCCCCCGACCAAAGTCGTTCTGCCAGATACTTGCCAGAAAACCACTTTGCGGGTCATTAGCTCTCATCTTACAGCCCGGGCAATAGGATCAGGAGCCTGCTAGAGAGCGTCCTCGGCCATCGTGTCAGAAATGGGGAGTCTGCAGTTCTGCGGCTTGCCCCGTACCTTGCACCTTGCACCTTGCACCTTGCAGGGTTTTTGGCCTGGATGCAGGTTTGCGCTGCACCTCGAGAAGCCCTTCAGTCCCAGGCGAGCCTGGACGTTGGCCGCACGGGGGACCACGCGACGCGGGGAGAGAGCCTAGACCTGCGCTGTCCAGCCCAGCACCACGACCCACGTGGGACTATTTACCTCGAAGCACAATGAAAACTGAAGTCCCCCGGTCGCAGGAGCTACGTTACAACCGCTCAACGGTCCCAAGTGGCCAGTGGGCTACCGTGTTAGAAAATGCACATATGGGGGTGGGGGTGGGGCAGCCCGGGTGGCCCAGCTGTTGAGCACCTGCCTGCAGCCCGGGGCGTGACCCCGGGGTCCTGGGATCGAGTCCCGCGTCGGGCTCCCTGCACGGAGCCTGCTTCTCCCTCTGCCTGTGTCTCCCATGAATAAATAAATAAAAATCCTTAAAAAAAAAAGAAAAAGAAAAAGAAAAAGAAAATGCACATATGGAGTTTTTCCGTTATCGCTGGCGTTGACAGTTTCAAGTTAAAAGAAAAAAAAAAAAAAAGCTCGGAAGCCACTAGGCTCTACGATCCCAAATAATCAACAGATGTTATTATTCTTCCCCAACAGGATGGAGGAGGGAACTAGGCAAAGGAATCAGCAAGCCGAAGCTGCCACGGCACCTGCCAGCAGGGCTTTCTCTGGGAACTCACTCGTGATTCCCACGGCGGAGGCCGTCTGCGGTGCGAAGGGAGTCCTCGGGCTTCTAGAACGCAGGGAGCCCCCACGGCGGGGCGGGGCGGGGCGGGGCGGGGCGGGGCGAGGGGGCGGCGACCGAGGGCCCAGGTCCCCGAGATTCAGTTGTCGGACGCAGCGGTCGCCCCCCTCCCGCCGCCCCTCCCGCCGGGCGCTCGGAGCGGGCCGGGAGCGCGCCCCCGCCCCCGCCCCCGCCCCGCCCCCGCGTGCGCGCTTCCGCACGCGCGCCGCCCCCTCGGCAGCCAATGGGGAGGGGCGCCGCGCGCAGGGGGCGGGGCCATGACGCGCGCCTCGTGACCCGGCTCGCGGCCTGCGTCCCAGGAAGCCGGAAGCGGCGGCGGCGGCGGCGCGGTCGGCGGCACCGGCTGGGGGCCGGGGAGGCGGCAGCGCGGGGGGCGGGGGGGCGCGCCCTGGGGGTTGCGAACCCCGCGATGGGTCCCGACGCCACAGCGGCGCGGCGGAGGTCGTTGCTGCTGCTGCTGCTGCTGCTGCTGTGGTCGGGCGCGCTCGCCTTGGCGGGCAGCCCGCACAGGGTCCTCCACGACCTCCTGTCGGAGCAGCGGTTGCTGGAGGTGGAGGACTGGTCCCTGAGCCTGCTGCAGGGCGGAAGGCTGGGGCCGCTGTCACTGCCCCCCGGCCTGCCGGATCTGGATCCCGAGTGTCGGGAGCTGTTACTGGACTTCGCCCGCAGCAGCGCGGAGCTGACCGGGTGCCTGGTGCGCAGCGCGCGGCCGGTGCGCCTGTGTCAGGCCTGCTACCCGCTCTTCCAACAGGTCGCCGGCAAGACGGACAACATCAGCCGCGCCGTGGGGGTGGGTAGAGGAGCACCCCCGGGACCTCCGGGGCCTGGTGGGTCGGGGGAGGAGGATGCAGTGATGCTTTTACTGCGGGAGCCTCAGTTTCCCCGTTTGTAAGGAAAAGGGGTTGGCCTGGGACTGTGCATCGTCAGAGCGGATGGCCTTACAGGTCTCGGAGTTTGGGGTTTTGCCCTCATGGCTGCAGTTGAGCAGCATCTTGAGACACGTTTGCAGGTCGATAGGGCTGTTTTTCTCGGGGGTCCTGCACCCTTCACCCCACCTTTCCTTTCCCTCCTTTACCCTCTTCACCCCACCCCGACACAGCTTCGTCCCATCCCTGCCTGATGTTCCCAGGAAGGACCCTTTCCTGAAACCCCTAAGAGCTGGGGGGGGGAGGGGAAGGAGGGGGGTGGGGAGAGTGTAGTAGTGATTAGGAGGCTGGAGCATTGTAGCCAGATAGCATCAGAGGCGCCACTTCACAGCAGCTTGGTCTTGGATTAATTTATCTTGTGATCTTCGTTTCCTCCTCTCTGCAAAATGGAGAAGAACAACTGTCCGGTGTGACTGTTACAAGGATCAAAAGAGATAACATGGGAGAGTTTATCTTGGTGATGGAGACAAGTCTGCAGCCGGTCAACCAGACGTCCAGGGCTTAGTAGCTGGCCTGGTCTTGGCAAGTTACTCTGTGAGAGCTCTTAGAAGACTAGCACAGAGTAGTAGTTCTCAGGAGCTAGAATTTAGGAAGTGGCATGTCTGCCTTCCATTTTTGGTGATTTTAGTGCTTTTCTGGTCATGTGGTGGTAGGTCCTGTGAGGGGGTTAATAAAAGAGGGAGGGAGGAAGGAAGGGAGAGAATTCATGTTCCTGCTAATAAGAAACTTACAGGGTCTAGAGTAGTAAAGGATAAGAGTGTCAGGGCTGGTAGGAGTCATGAGGTGTGGGCCCGATATGCCTTGTAAAGGAAAAAACACGAAGAATGACGTTGGGATCATAGGGAAAGTTCCTCTTGTATGGAGAGGACCAGTAGTCTCACGAGAATGTGATTGGAATTATTTCATACATCATAGTCAATCTGACAAAATACGAACTTAGAGTTGCATCCTGCGTTGCCAGCCTGATATTACTTAAATCCATTTTTTTTTACATAAATAGGAAACTTATTTGCGTGAAATAAATGATGTGGTTGATCTTTCTGTAAAGAGCTAGTTTTTTTTTTTTCTGGTTTTACCAATACTATTACACTTTTTTAAAGGTTTTTTTTTTTAATTTATTTATTTATGATAGTCACACAGAGAGAGAGAGAGAGGGAGGCAGAGACACAGGCAGAGGGAGAAGCAGGCTCCATGCACCGGGAGCCCGACGTGGGATTCGATCCGGGGTCTCCAGTATCACACCCTGGGTCAAAGGCAGGCGCCAAACCGCTGCGCCACCCAGGGATCCCTTAAAGGTTTTATTTATTCATGAGAGACACAGAGGGAGAGGGAAGAGACATAGGCAGAGGGAGAAGCAGGCTCCATGCAGGAAGCCTGATGTGGGACTCAATCCAGGACTCCAGCCAGGATCGTGCCCTGAGCCAAAGGCAGATGCTCAGCTGCTGAGCCACCCAGGCGTCCCAAGAGCTAGTTTTCAAGTTTGGAAAGAAACAATTAAAATCGATGAATCACCGAAGTGGCAATTAGCAGAAGTTTATTGTGCACATGAAAAAAGACAGTTTGTAAACTGGGAGCACTAAAAGCAAAACATGGAATGAGGCTCAGAGATGCATTGTTACAAAGCAGTGTATGTAGTATGGGACTGTGACTGTTAATTCTTCACAGAGCTGGTTACAATATAGGAACCTTCTTTTTATTTTTCATAAGAATTTTCCTAAAGAGAATTGGTTAGTAGTTGCCTCATTTCAATTCTGGGGAATAATAGAAGTCTGGTGTATGATTTTCAAAGGGATAAGGGATAAGCAAGAGGTGACCCAGGTCAAGTTAACCTCACTTGTTTTGCAAAATAAGCTAAATTAAACTTCTGTTTGTATGACCGAACTGGTTTTATCTCATCAGGGAATGTTCAAATCTGGTCTCCATTTGTATTTGATTTTAACATAGGTTAAATAAATTTAGGCTTATCTGCAATATTTTCCAGGCATATTTCTATTAGGTATAGCAAAGTGGATATATATCCCTCTCTGTCTGTCTTCCTATGATCTAAAAATAGAGTACCCAAGACTTGTCACTATTAGCAGGGTATGATATGACATCGTATTGGATTTTGAGCAATTAGGTGAGTTGTTTTGTGGCCAAGATGATTGAGTCATGAGGCAAAGCTTGGATCCTTTGGGGGAGCAAATGCGTTCCTCATTTGTGTAGATACTGTGGAATTAGGAAGAGGTTAAAAGATTACCCCAAACTCTAGTATTATGGTCATCACCCAATCTGTGTTTGAATTTCCACATGAATTCCTCACTGCCCAAGAGAGTTGGGGGTAGGGGCAGAAACTTCTTCATTTGTGCCTATCAGATTCTACCAATGATCTGGGCACCAGGCTCACCTCACCCTTGTGTGAAAGGAAGAAAGTAAAGAGTTTTAAAAAAGAAACAAAAACAAAAACACAGACAAACCCAGAAAAACCCTTTGCTCAATCTGGATTTCCACTCCAGTTCATCCTAGACCTTGACCTCTTTTGCTTTCTTTCCTCAGTAGAGGTGAACATGCTTTGCTGGCTCCAAAGCATGATTTCTACAGTTAGGAGATACTTCATGGATTTAATAGAGTTTTTTGGATTGGCTTGGGAATTGAATCATCATGTGTAATAATGAACGTATGGAAAAAAAGTGTTCTGAGTTTCTTAGAAGTGACCTTGAAGGAATCATTTGTTTGTGTGTGTGTTGGGGAGGTTATTTCTAGGGAGTAGTGTACTTTCTTTGACTCACGGAGGCTCAGTCTTTCCTTTAAATCAGTTTAATCAGCAAGCACATGCTATTCTTAAATATTGGGCTAGTAAAACGATACAAAAGGAAAAGGAGAATAAGGCCCAAGCTTCAAACTATGAGTGTAGTTGGTGAAATAAACCTATTTTGAGAAAAAGAAAGAAGGAAAAAAAATCATCAATGGGAATGTTATGTTTTGTACAATCACAGTTTACAGCAAAAGGGGGAAGGAGATGTTGAATTAAAGGAGAACAGAGCAAGGTGGGGCTAATCAGAGAAAACCTATGAGCTGAATTTTGAATAAGATATCCTTTATCATCTCTTCAGGACAAATCCATGTCCATGGATTGATTGGGAGAGGAAGGGAATATAACAAGGAGAAAAAGAATCAAATGTAGAAATTAGCAAGCTATTTCTCTGGCTATAGCAAGCTAATTCATTTAACAGATTGCCTGATGAGAATTCTATTTTCTTGTCACTTCCTCTTGGAGTTACTGAGACAAGGACCACATATAGTTTTATTATCAGAAGGTAAAGAATACAGTGATTTGTGAAACTTGAGTGGTATAACTGATTTCCTTAGAGTCATACTTTCAATCTTTTAGTATAGACCGATCGTGATTTCACTGAGCTGTTCAGCATCCTCAGAGAAGCTGCTAGGAGGCCTTGACCACCCCCCCCCCCAAACTCTGAATTGCTTAGCTGTATCTCATTCTCCTTGGTTGGCTTAAAAATTTATATAGATAGGTAGATGTAGATCTACAAAGATATGTATATATATTTAATGAAGGTGTTAGAGATTAGGAGTATATATCTGGAACTGTTCAACATACTTTTTTTTTAGTATAGACTGATAAATAAAATCTTAGGGATATAGAGAGAGACTCAGAACCTAGAATAACAATAATCTGTCTTTTATTAGCGATCAGAAAGTAATGCTGCTTCTGCATTCATTCAGGAAAATTATTGAGTACCTATTATGTACAGTTAATAGTAGTTACTAGGGATATAGCTGTAAATGTGCAGAGCTTATAGTCTGTTAGGAAAACGGACATTAAGCATATTAACAATGCAATTATTTAATTCAGTTAAGTCTTGCAAAGTAAAAAAACCCAGATACTACTATCAAATCATATGACAAGAGAGCTGATCTTGACTAGGGCTAGTGGTAGGTAGAGTGGTCAGTGGTTAAAGCTGATATCTAAATTCTGAGAGAGTGTGGGGCAGGGACGAGAAGGTATATATACATGTAAAGAAGGAGCAGGTGTGAAGATTGTGAGTCTGGTGTGTTTGAGTACTCAAAGTACTGTGAGCTAGGAGGAGACTAGTGATCCTAGCCTGAAGTAGTAGGCAGGTACCTGATCACGTGGGCCTCATGGGGTATGTTAAGGGTTTTAGACTTTTATGTTCAAACAGTGAGATGTTATTGAGAGGTTTAATTCTGTAGAAGGATGTGATCAGATTTATAATTTAAAAAACCATTTAGGTTACATGAGAAAAAGTGGAGGGGATGGGATGGGAAGGATAGAGGAAGAGTAGGTGTAGGGAGATGAATTAAGAGACTCTTGTACTGATAGGAGAACTAGTGGCTAAGCTACGTAGGGACCATTGTGATGGGGAGAAATGGATAGATTTCAGAGATATGTAGGAGGTAGAATTGACAAGACTCAGTGGTTAACCTGTGGGGGGTTCTTGAAGTCCCAGTGTTTTTGGCCTTTCCTTACACTTTCTGTATCCTTAAAATCCAGGAGTCTTATAGTGCCTGGTAAGTAAGTAGTAGGAGTTAAATAACTTTGAAACACTGAAGGGTCAGCATGACTTAATTTCTTGCTTGGAGCAGAAGGGAAAAAAGAAATAGGTAAGGATCAAATAACTGAAGAACTTGGATTTATTTTTTTGCATAGTGTGAGTTTCATTATTAAAATAATCTGTGGAAAGCATATTCTATGTGGGTACAAACTATTTGGGTACAAATTGGTGTGTCACGCTTTCTTGTGGTTTATAAGATTTTGAACCAAAAATTTCCCGGAAGATGAAACTTAAATATTTTGTAATCATTTACCCACCAGATTAAAGAAATTATGTAAATAGTGTATGTTCATTGTAAGAAAATCTAGACAGTGTAAAAGAGGCAAAAAAAAAATGAAAATCACCATAGTTTTATTATTCAGAGATAACCAGTGCTATATTTTAATGAAAGCTTTCCAGAATTTTTTCCTATGTATAAAAAGTAAGAAATATGACGCACACAATTTGGGCCTAAGTGGTTGAAATTGTGCAATAGAACAAGTATTTAAAAGCACAAAGATTTTCTTCCCTTTCCAGTGCGCCGGGTATCAATAAATATTAGCTGCTTTTGTTTTATTACAGGTGTAATTAATGACATCATTATTTGATCACATCAAAAAATGTTAAAAAATGCTTCTAATATTTTAGTTATTCTTATAAGGTTTTTTTTCCCTAAAGTTATTTGGGAAGCCTGAAAATACTCAGATTGTATTTTTCTGTTTTTGTTGTTGTTACAGAATACATCAGAGAGTCATAGTTGTGCCAGAAGTCTCTTAATGGCAGATAGAATGCAGATAGTTGTGATTCTGTCTGAGTTTTTTAATTCCACGTGGCAGAAGGCAAATTGTGCAAGTAAGTAACTCTTTCATTTTCATGTTGCAGTTGTGGTTCAATAGTATAGATGTCAGATTTTATTTTAGTGAATTTTGAAATCTTTGAAGCTAGATAATACTTTTTATTACTGTTTATTTTTTTAAATTTTATTTATTCATGAGAGAGAGAGAGAGAGAGAGAGAGAGGCAGAGACACAGGCAAAGGGAGAAGCAGGCTCCACACAGGGAGCTCGATGTGGGACTCGATCCCAGGTGTCCAGGATCACGCCTGGGCTGAAGGCAGCGCTAAACCACTGGGCCACTGGAGCTGCCCTATTACTAAGTTTAAATGAACTACAATTAGCATCATGGTTTATTAGTGGGAATTACTTGGGCGAATATTGAAAGGCAGAAAAGTGTAGCAGTTGACAGGATAAACTTTGCAGTCAGACAGATCTGGCCTTGATTCTAAGCTCTGCCGCTGCTAACCTTGACTCACTAGCAGTCAGACCTTGGGCTTGTAACTTCGCCTCTTGGACCTTCAGTTTCCTTATCTGATTTGGGGATAAATTGGGATAATAATGGAACCTACCTTATATGCTTGTTTTTAGGATTAAATGGCAAAAATTGTATAAAGAACCTAGCTGAGTAGCTGGCACATAGTTAATGTTGAAATGCTAACTGTTTAATATAATAATAATTATGATGTTTATAATCTGTCAAATGGTGGTGATGGGAGGTGGTAACATCCATTCTACCAGTTTTGCAGGTTTATATGTATTTGTATACTACAATGAGATCATTTTCAGGCACTCTTTGGCAAGTTAAAACTGTTATTTCAATATGTGTTTTGAACACCAACTGTGTACTAGGCAGTTCTTGTTTTCCTTGCTTTATAATTTAGTGAGGGAGAAAGTTACATCTGGAGGATAACCTGAGACAGACAAATAAATGTTTTAATAAAGTCATAGAATCCTTGGGGGAAGTAGAAAATGGGGAGAATTAGAAATGATTTCCTGGAGGAGGTACTTTTTGATCCTACACCTTTATGGCCAGGCGTAATTTCAATAAATAGAGATGAGAGGAAGGATACTGCAGAGAGGGAGGCATCATGGACAGAGGCACAGAGGAATAAAAGACTAGTAGGTGTTTCAGGGTCTGGGAGCATAGTGGGAGGTAAAATTGGAAAAGGGAAATAGGACCTTGACTGATAGAGTAGTTTATCAAGGCATTTTATTAAGAATTGGTTGCATACTATAGTATTTTAAATATTTACCATATACATGGAATACTAAAGGCAGTAAGAAGTACTACAGGTTAAAAAATGTTTAACATTTAACCTAGTACTTTCCAAGCTTTTTTGTTTTGTTTTGTTTTCTGTATTTCATTAAAAATATTATTGAAGTATAGTTGATCTACGTGTTCTATTAGTTTCAGGGGTACAACTCAGTGATTCAACAGTTCTATACATCATGCAGTGCTCACTAGAAGATTTCACTCATTTTAACTACAAAGAGCCTTCATTTTTTCTTTTAATGAAATCCCATTGGAAGAGGAAGAAAGAGAGCAGTGAGGAAGTTATTAGGATAGTTTAGGCAAGAAGCAAAGAAAACTTAGAGTATGGACAGGAGAAATCCTCAGGATTAAAAAATCTATGTGCTCGTAAGTCATTAATGAGTTTAACTTTTCTAAGGTCTTGTCTTTTTGTTTAGATCATACGAGAAAAACTAAATGGCAGAAAGACCCCTGCTAAGTTTCTTTTCTTTGCAGTACATCATAGTATATTGAATATTGACTCTTTTAGTTTTGTCTCTATTAATTCAGATTTTTGGGCAGCCCCGTGGCTCAGTGGTTTAGCGCCACCTTCAGCCCAGGACGTGACCCTGGAGACGCAGGTTCGAGTCCCACATTGGGCTCCCTGGGAGGAGTCTGCTTCTCCCTCTGCCTGTGTCTCTGCCCCTCTTTCTCTCTGTGTCTCTCATTAATGAATAAACAAATACAATCTTTATAAAATAAATAAATAATTCAGATTTTTTGGTAATTTGAACAGAGGTTTGGCTGACAGTTACTTTTTTTTTTTTTTAAACAAAAGCTTTACGTTTTGGTGTAAAAGTTTCCAGTATAAATATGATTGAACAGTTTGCTTAACCTATATAGGAGAGCTATTTATTTATTCTATTTATTTATTTATTTATTCATCATTCATTCATCATTCATTCATTATTTTTAAAGATTTTATTTATTTACTATGAGAGACACAGAGAGAGAGGGGCAGAGACATAGACAGAGGGAAGAAGCAGGCTCTACGCAGGGAGCCCGATGTGGGACTCTATCCCAGGACTCCAGGATCATGGCCTGGGCTGGAAGGCAGGCGCTTAACCACTGAGCCACCCAGGCATCCCAGGAGAGCTATTTTTAAATATTCTTAAACCCTTAAATCTATTGATATAGAAAAAAATATGTTAATTATAATTTAAAATTAATTAAAATAAATGGGATATATATTGAGGTTCACTTCTTTTGATTGGTGTGAGGTGTGACTTAATTTTTATGCTTGAGAGGTAAAGCATCTTTTCTTTCCTTTTTTAAAGGTTTTATTTATTTATTTGACAGGAGAGAGAGCATGAACAGGGCAAGGACAGGCAGAGAGGGAGGGAGAAGTCCCAATGTGGGGGCTCAATCCCAGGACCCTGGGATCATAACCTGAGCCAAAGACAGACGCTTAGCCTCCTGAGCCACCCAGGTGCCCTAAAGCATGTTATCTTTAAAAGATATTTTCTGACAGAGACTTCACTAACTCAAAGTAGCTTTCTTTTCCAGTTAGTTAAAAAAAGAAAGAAAACATTTTGCTGCATATTTACTTAATATAGTAGTTATAAAACTCTTTAGAATAAATTCTTAGGGTAACTTTGTTTTTCTGTGAGCCATCCTATCTTGAAAATATTCCTTGGGCAGCCCATGTGGCTCAGTGATTTAGCGCTGCCTTCAGCCCAGGGCATGATCCTGGAGACCCGGGATCGAGTCCCAGTCGGGCTCCCTATATGGAGCCTACTTTGCCCTCTGCCTGTGTCTCTGCCTCTGCGTGTGTGTGTGTGTGTGTGTGTCTCATGAATAAATAAAAAAATCTTTTAAAAAAATATTTCTTGATTGAACATCTTTTGAAGAATAAATGAAATGCTTACTTCCTAATTAAAATTAATTTGGTCAAGATATGTGGTCAGGTGAAAGAAGCAAGGTGCAGAGAAGTGTGATATCTTTTGAAGAATTAGAAAACTAAGAGGACTTAGTTTTCATTCAACTTACTTTGTACCTTTTAAATATTATACATATGCATTTAATACCTATTCAAAAATACATAAAATTTAACAGAATGTCCAGATCTAGAGTATTTATATGTTATAGTACGAGATATTGGCTATTTTCTTTTTTAGCATTATTCATTAAAAGAAATTATCTTCCATTTATTTTTCATTCACATTTTAAAATTTCATCATAACTTATATTCTATATTTTAAATGGAAATAAAATAGTTCTATAAATTTGTATTCCTCAGCTGTTTTCTCTTGGACATTCTAAAATAATCATCTTAAATAGAATAATATCTATCAGAAGTACCAGGGAACCCTTTTAATAATGTTCTTTTTAACTGTATTTAATAAAGGTACGAACATTTTCTGAAAATTTTAAGGAGTTATTCAAGTAACTAAGTTTTTTATCAAAAAATTTTTTAGAAGATTTTAAATTTATTTATTCATGAGAGACACAGAGAGAGGTAGAGACACAGGCAGAGGGACAAGCAGGCTCCCCATGGGAAGCCCAATGCAGAACTTGATCCCAGGACCCTGGGATCAGGCCCTGAGCTGAAGGCAGTTGCTCAACCTCTGAACCCCTTGGGTGTCCCAATTTTTTACCAAAAGTTAATAAGGCATTCTTACTTGAGCAACATAATCTTCTCTTACTAAGTAGTGAGGAAAGAAATTGGAAAGAAGGAAAAAATGAGGAGCTAAAGAAGGTGAGTAATAAGTTAGCAGTGGAAGTAAATAATATTTCTCAATTTTGAACCCTTGTCTCATTTTAGCTTCACAATAAGCCTTATGAGGTAGAATGAGGGTTCAGAGAGTGTAAGTGAACTATAAATCCCGAGTCTAGAATTAAATTCAAAAGGCTTTAAGATTGTTCATCTGAATAGATAGTGTTCATGAGTTAATGCCTAATTTAGTTTTTTAAAAGTACTACTTGACAAATTCATTGCACAGTCTCTATTGTAAGAAATATACATTTTAATTAGCACAAAGGTTTAACATTTATGTTATATACATACTTGATATTCTGGAAAGCATAGTCTTTTACTAAAAATATAAATGTAAAATACTCTCTTTTTCTAAAGAACAATTAATACTACATAAAATTAAAACTAGATAATGTGAAAAAAATTATTTTTAATGGAGTTGCACATTTTCTAGGGAAATGTAAATGTTCAGCAATGGTCTGGCATTAGGTTCTCATGAAATTTCATCTCTAGCAACCAGATATATTAAACACTAAGTTCATAGGATCTTTATTTGTTCCTTTCCTTTTTTTAAAAAAAGTTTTATTTATTCATTTGAAGGGGGGCGGTGCAAAGGGAGAGGGAGAGAGAATATTAAGCAGACTACTAGCTGAGAATAGAGTTGATCATGGGGCTCGATCTCAGGCCCTGAGATCATGACCTGAGCCGAAACTGAGTTAAATGCTTAACTGATTGCACCACCCAGGCACCCCTACTCTTTTATTTTCTTAATGAATGATAACAAAGTTTTCCATTTAGTTGTGCACTTAAAAGAAAATTATTTCCTACCTATTCATTGTTTTAAAAATCATTGGCCTTTATTTTTATTTTTTTTAAGATTTTATTTATTTATTCATGTGAGACAGAGAGAGAGAGGCAGAGACACAGCAGGCTTGATCCTCGCAGGCTCCTCGCAGGGAGCCCAATGCAGGACTTGATCCTGGATCCCAGAATCATGCCCTAAGCCAAAGGCAGACTGTCAACTGCTGAGC